TAGGCCACAACATCTTGGTCTTCATATCTTCACTATAATCCTGCAACTTGTAGAATGATTTATAAGTGCACATTTTTGTGTACCATACAATTTTCAATATCAACCCTTGCTCAATCACAAGCAGCGATTCCAATCGGGATCTAACTCATCGAACAGTTACCTAAAAATTATAATCTGCATTTACATTCTAGAGTACTATTCTTTCGTTAGTCTCAATTACTTTTTTATCATCATTTTAACAATTTGTTCTTGATACTTTTGATTAAAACATTTTGATAAAATGGCTTCCTGCCATTTTCTTCTATAGGTATAAGCCATTTTTTTACTATGTATCCAATTAAACCTGCTTTATATAATTTAGAGAAAGGCGATCGAATAGAATAGAGTTCTTAAAGATTCTGTTAAGTTTAAATGCATTTAAGCTAGATGTTTGAATTAAATATCTTGTAACTCTATGAACTTCGCCCATCTTAATCACTTTTCTACCCTTTTCTTAAACAGGTGGTGGCTGCCATGATTCATCCGGGCGGTGGACGCAACGATATTCCTCAGCGTCTGAAGCGTCGCTTCAATATATTCAACTGTACATTACCCAGCAATGCTTCACTGGACAAAGTGTTCAGTAGTCTTGGTCTGGGTCATTTTTGTCAGGAGCGTGGCTTTTCAAGTGATTTGCACTCCCTCGTTGACAAGCTAGTCGTCTGTACACGGCAATTATGGCAGCGGGTCAAGGCAAAGATGCTTCCAACGCCAGCCAAGTTTCATTATGTCTTCAATTTGCGCGATATAAGCCGTATCTGGCAAGGAATGCTGAACAGCCTTAATGAAGTGATGTCAAGCCCTGGGATCTTATTATCCCTTTGGAGGCATGAGTGTACCCGTGTGATAGCAGACAGATTTACAGACCTAACAGACAAAACGTGGTTCGACAAAACCCTTAAATCTTGTGGTAAAATAATCCATTATGAATAATTAGCTTTGTGAGAAGTACTTATAGCTCAGGTTATGTTGACTGAATAAGCAAGTTGTATTGGGATTGCAATATATCAAGGCCTGAAGGGGTTCTGAAAGGGCTAGAATGGTGATGGTGTCTGACGAAAGAAGTTGGTTCAAGATGCTTTACATAAATTGGCAGATCTTAGGTAGACAATTTTATCTTGCTAGCCTGAGCCCGATACTGTTGATATATAAAGCAAGTGGAATCCTAAATCATTGGTATTGTTCCGAGCGATATATTCTGACCTCTCTTTATAGCTCTTCCACAAAGATCTAGTGACTTCGCTTCGGGGCTAGTGGCATATTTGTACCATAAAAGATAGGACAGCTATATTTCATTCTGCGATGCTATAATCCCTAGTTATTTAAACAGTGTGAGTCTCATTTTTTTGCGAAAGCTAATTCTCACCTGTAAAATAGATAGAAGTGTCCGGACCTAAAAGAGCAATTTTGATTCCAAGCAAAGATTACGGTCTAGTTGATGAAAAGTAACCTGAGCTAATTTGAAATAAGCGATTTAACTTGATGACTACTCAATAAATGTCAATTATTATAATTGTGATCCCAACAATTTAGGCATTTCTCGTATTTTTTCATGCCTTTTTAATTCGTAATAAACGTCGATGAGTCGTATTTGAAGACTAAAACTATCATATAAAAATAAGAATTTCATTACATGTTTTTATTTAAGGCTAGGTGGACGTTATTTTAAACTTATCAAAAAAGAAAAGAATAAAATTCTAATTAAAATATACTTTGAGTTCCAAATCACCATAAGTTATAGCGACTATTAAATCATTGGACCCATTCTAAGCCATCACGAGATATTTGGTTCGCCAGAAGGCTAGGAAGAATAGTCTGGTCTAACATAATTTGCATGTATTTAAAGGCAATGCATCATTATTTTTCGTATATAAGCAGAGTTTAGAGACTAAAAACTCTGCTTATAAACGAAAAATAAGTATCGTAATCTATTCTTATAGCAAAAATACGTTTGCTTAATCGACAATCCCTGTAAAGAATATGATATAGGAAAAACCTAGCTTTCCTTTATATTCACATCTTTCCTGTGATCCAAGGGCACTCATGGCAATGTGGCTGAGTGATTACCGTGTCAATTTTATATGCTAACGTGTCACGGTTAGACTTCCGCTGGGGGTATTGATAAGACCTAGGCGAAGTCGAAACTGCCGTTCACCCTGGATGAGAACAACTTTCGGGAAAGCAAGACTATGTGACATTCAATGGAAACGTCAGCTCTACTCATATCATTGTGGGAAAATTCTACTACTATTCCTTGATCACTTTAAACGAAATTGGTTGAATACATCTCATACAATATACCTTAACTCTGGTTTAGCAGTGACAGAGTTTATGGACCAAGATAGTCTCTTTTACCTTAAGGTTATTGTTATCGCGTTCAGATCTGGGTTATTTACCACAAAAACCCTAAATATCTGGCCAAAACTATGCCGTTGGAGAATCAATTAACAACGAATTCTTTCGGAAGATAAAACCATAAAATAATGTCATGATCTTTATAAAATGAAGAAAGGCTAACCTGATCCAAGATTCAATGATCTAATGATTTAATAATTGCCATAATATATCTTTTATCTTTCGCAGCCGAAGAATTTTTCGATCAAAGCACATTTTCCCATATGCAAGAAGAGCCATACTTTGTCGACTTCCTGCGTGATGCGCCTGAACCAACTGGCGAAGAAGCAGAAGACGCTGACATGGAGACACCAAAAATCTATGAGCCCATTCCTAGCCTCGAAGCACTAGAGGAAAGATTAAAATCTTTCATGCAGATGTACAATGAAACAGTAAGCTATGATATATACCGATATAGAACTTACAAGTTTTTGGTCTTCCTATTCGTATATACAATATTAGCAGGACAACAAGCATATAAAAATATACACACTACGAAAACCTTCAAGTATATACATCTTTGATAAATGAATTAACTAATGTACTTCTAACCACCGAAGTTTTAAGTTGCCGTAATTTGGTCTTATCTGGTCACTTGAAATGGAAGCCAGATGAATTCAATTTCGTGCTAAAATCATTTATTTTTCGCATTTAAGAATTGTTTTGAGACTACCAGTAAATCAGTAATATAAGATGTATTCACCCAATTTCGTTTAAGGCGATGAAGGACTAGTAGAAGAATTTTCCCACAATGATATGAGTAGAGCTGACCTTTCCACTGAATTTCACATGGTCCTTCATCACCTCAAAAGAAATAGGGTAAATACATCTCATAAAATCATTTAATCATTTATTTGCAAATAGGTATGACGATCAAGATGTTATGGCCTATGTTTTGGTCGCAGTCTTCTTCCGATATATAGAAATGGTTTGACCTCGTTTTCGCATTTGGTTCATGTTGCCAAGGCTCGGCTTTTTTGAAATCCTCTATCTAAAGCTAAAAATGATCATTTCTACTATAGCAGAGGACTTCGGACAAGGCATGTCCAACTAGGTCTCTTTAGCAAAGTGGCCAACTTAAGAAAACGTGTTCAGAACATTTCTATACATTTACAAGTTAGCCAGACGTCAATTTAGAGTAAACACTCTAAATTAACCCGCTGTCTGTGTAGCTGGGATGAGGTAAGCCTAAGAGCCATTGCACAAGTCTTCCTAACCCCTTTCTTTTCTAGGTACGTGGAAGCAAGTTGGACATGGTGTTCTTCAAGGATGCTATGACGCACTTGGTGAAGATCTCACGCATAATTCGTACCCCGAAAGGCCATGCACTACTTGTTGGTGTGGGAGGATCAGGAAAGCAATCACTCACCAGACTTGCCTCTTTCATTGCCGGCTATCAAACTTTTCAAATCACGTTGAGCAGGTAAATTTGCTAAATTTTCTTTGCGTTGAACTTAGCCATACGTATGGGTTATTTAACTCGCTTTTTTACATGATTAGCTATCTCCACAAAAGCTTTTCCCAATGAGAATATAATTCCAAAATAGAGTGAGTCAAGTATGCATCTGACATTTCGAGGATTCGTCTAAATTCAATACATCTCTTCTCCACATTATAGTAAAGAAATCTATCAAATAAATCCAGGTGGTAGATGTATACTCGATCATACCTAAAAATTACAGGCAAATTTATACTTTCTATTACTTACTTAGCTACTAGCTAAACGATTTAATAAAAATTTCTTATTTAAAAGTGCCAAGTATCGGGGATTCTTTTTATTAACAACAACTAAATAGAGATAATTTGTGCATCGTGCAACCCTTATTTTTTACATGCATTCTAAGCAGGACTACTTGGTTGCTTATTTTTGGCAAATTATGTACATTCGGGGGATTGATATCTCGTTAGAGAAGTGTACTCATTATTCAATTTTTAACTCCCTGTTTGCTACTCATCGTTGCAGTCAATTCCTAAGTCTTGATTTCTAGGTTTCTATAAGGAGATTCATAATAAACACGAAACCAGCCTATATAATTTGATGTATATAGCCGCTACATCAGATAAGAGATAGTCATTTATAGGCTTCCTCTAATTCTGAATGCATTTTTCTTAAATATACTTTCGTCGTAGTCGCCCTCATCTATATTAATATCTATGCAATCACTACCATAGGCCCTCGACTCTAAGCGCCGGCATTTGAATGGGATCGTTTTGTCTTCGACAATGAGCCCCCTTTCGGCGTTTATTCAACCGGTTCGTCTGGGTTTTATCAGAGGGCAAAGCGACTGTTTGATCTTTTTATTCTAGCCTTGCCCATGAACACACTGGGACATAAGCAAGTGCAACTCATGCTACGTGTAAATAGGATTTTATTCAACAATGAGATGTTCTCATACTTGTTTGTAAATCCGGCTGTGTCTGAGCTCAGGCAAAATCTTGGTGGCCCTGCGGCAGCTTCCATCTAATCCAATTTTGCGTCTCTTATTGCTAAAGCCATTTCCATTCCAACCTCATCGAATATTTTTGACCAAATGTTTAATATATAGCAGCATCTTTTCTGTTCAGCAACTTTCCGCCAATATTCCTATTCTGTAAAAGA